TGAGGTCAGTAGGTTGGTCCTGGGGAGGGTGAAGGGGGAGTGGAGGAGAAGGAGGAGGAGGAGGCGTAGGCTGGGGAGGAAGGAGCCTATTGTGAATGGAAAGGCCGTGACGTCATTCAGCCGCCAGGTGACGTCATCAATATCCTGTGACGTCATCAATATCCTCTCACCTAACCCAACACAAGTGACGTCACAGGACCTTTCAACCCCTAACCCCTAACCCCCTAACCCCTAACCCCTTCCCTCCTCCCTACCTGACACCCTCCCTCACCCCTCCTGACACCTCTCTCACCCTCCTGACACTCTCTCACCCCTCCTGACACCCTCCCTCACCCCTACCTGACACCTCCTCACCTCCTGACACCCTCCCTCACCCTCCCACCCCTCCTGACACTCCTGACACTCTTTCCCCTCCTGACCCTCCCTCACCCCCTCCTGACACTCTCTTTCACCCCTCCTGACACCCTCCTCACCCCTACCTGACACCCTCCCTCACCCCTCCTGACACCCCTCCCTCACCCCTACCTGACACCTCCTCACCCCTCCTGACACTCTCTTTCACCCTCCTCACCTCCTCACCCTCCTGACCCTCCTCACCCCTCCTCACCCCTACCTGACACCCTCCTCGTGACACACCCCTACCTGACACCCTCCCTCACCCCTCCTGACACACCCTCCTCTCACCCCTCCTGACACCCTCCTCACCCTCCTGACACCCTCTCACCCCTCCTGACACCTCCCCTCACACCTCCTGACCCTCACCCCTACCTGACACCCTTCACCCTCCTGACACCCTCTCACACCCCTCCTGACACCCTCTCTCAACCTTCCTGACACCTCCCTCACCCCTCCTGACACCCTCCCTCACACCTCCTGACACCCTCCCTCACCCCTACCTGACACCCTTCCTCACCCCTCCTGACACCCTCTCACCTCCTGACACCCTCTCTCAACCTTCCTGACACCCTCTCACCCCTCCTGACACCTCTCTCCTGAACCCCTTCCTGACACCCTCTCTCACTCCTCTCTCACCCCTCCTGACACCCTCCTCACCCTCCTGACCCCTCACCCTCCTGACACTCCCCTCCTGACACCCTCTCTCACCCCTCCTGACACCCCTCTCACCCTCCTCACCCCCTCCTGACACCCTCCTCACCCTCCTGACACCTCCTCCCTCACACCTCCTGACACCCTCCCTCACCCCTACCTGACACCCTTCCTCACCTCCTGACACTCTCTCACCCCTCCTGACACCTCTCTTCTGACACCTCTCCTGACACCTCCCTCACCCCTCCTGACACCCTCCTCTCACCCCTCCTCTCTCACCCTCCTGACACCTCTTCACCCCTCCTGACACCTCTCTCACCCTCCTGACACCCTCACCTCCTCCCCCCCCCCTCCTGACACCCCTCTCACCCCTCCTGACCTCTTTCACCCCTCCTGACACCCTCTCTCAACCTTCCTGACACCCTCCCTCACCTCCTGACACCCTCCCTCACCCTCCTGACACCCTCTCACCCCTCCTGACACCCTCCCTCACCCCTCCTGACACCCTCTCTCACCCCTCCTGACACTCTCACCCCTCCTGACACTCTCTCTTCCTGACACCCTCTCACCCCTCTCCTGACCCTCCTACCCCTACCTGACCTCTCACCCCTCCTGACACCCCTCACTGACACCCTCACACCTCCTGACACCTCTCACCCTCCTGACACCCTCACCCCTCCTGACCTCTCTCACCCTCCTGACACTCTCTCCCCTCCTGACACCCCTCCTGACACCCTCCCTCACCCCTCCTTCCTTCCTGACACCTCCCTCACCCCTACCTGACACCCTCCCTCACCCTCCTGACACCCTCCCTCACCCTCCTGACACCCTTCTCACCCCTCCTGACACTCCTCTCTCACCCTCCTGACACCTCTCTCACCCCTTCCTGACACTCCTCCTCACCCCTCTGACACCAGCAGCAAGACGGGAAGAGTTTTCATTTTTTCATCAGTATTTTCTTCCTTGAGTCAGTGAGGGGATGGGAGGGGGAGGAGAGGGGAGGAGAGGGAGATGGGAGGTAAGGAGAGAGAGAAGGAGGAGACGTGCTTATTGAATATCTGACACAGGTATCTCGTGTGTGTGTGTGTGTGTGTGTGTGTGTGTGTGTGTGTGTGTGTGTGTGTGTGTGTGTGTGTGTGTGTGTGTGTGTGTGTGTGTGTGTGTACTTGGGCAGCTTTTAATGAGAAATAACTGACATTTTAGAGACAGATACGAGAACTAATGTGAATATTTCCGTCAAATATTAAAACTATAAACGTGAGCTTTTTTTTTTACCCTAACAAAAATAACAAAAACATAACAGATCATAACAAAAACATAAAAAAAATGAATTACAAAACTATAACAAAATTATAACAAAACAAAAACACTAAACAACAAAAACAAACAAAAATAAAAAAATAAAACAAAAAAACAACAAAAATAAGATAAAAAAAACAAGAAAAACATAACAATAACACCACAAAAACATTCTCCTCCTTAATGGATCACCTGAATATTATCACCATCAGGTATCAACAGGTTAAGGACTTGGTTCATGTTAAGCGGGTTAAGGTGAGCTCTTGAGAACACCTGGGCACCGGTAATAACAGGTGTAATTTACCTGAATCTTATTAATGGTCCTCTATAAAATTATTTATTTTATTCTAATATATCGATTTTTTTATTTACCATTTAACGATCAGATTAAGTACAAGAATCACACCTGGTTTAATTTTTGGTCGTTATACTCTCTCTCTCTCTCTCTCTCTCTCTCTCTCTCTCTCTCTCTCTCTTATCACACACATATAAAGGAATCTCACTTTTCCTTCCCTTCATACAACCTATTATTGAAGATTAATACCGAACCTTAAGCGAAAAAATAATAATACCAATACTTCACTACCAACCAGATGAAATTTTTTTTTTTTTTACGTATTATTGATTTTGTACTGAAAACTCACTCTATTTCACCCTCTTATGTCAACTGTTTCACCTCTTAATTCTATCTATTTCACCCAGTCTAGGTTAGGGTAAGGTAGGTGAGGTTACGTTACGTTTAGTGAGGTAAGCAGACAGACGGCTAATAAAGTCTACGGTTCTGGCCCGCCGCGTTTAACTACCACCGGTAAAATATCTGAGGACCGAACGTTGATAATTAACGATATATTTTAACTTAATTACAGCTTAATTAATTACCAAAATACACTTAATAAGACGATATTTAATTACATTATTTAACAAACTTATAACTTGATTAATTATATATAATAAATAAACAAATTATAAAAAAATAATTTACGTGTTTATTCTACAGATATAAAACAATAAATTCAATAAATAAAAGAGAATTAACAGGATTAATTAAATACAAACAAACAATTTAATCGTTCTAATGGACTAACACAAATACTGTAGAGTTTACGTCAGCATTAAACGTCAACAGCGTCAGCACTAGCGATCAGAAGCGTTAGTACGAGCGATCAAGAGTCAGCACGAGTGATCATACAATGTCAGCACAAACGAACAACAGAATTAGAACGAGTGATCAAAAATGTCAGTGCAAGCGATTAACAACGCCAGCACAAGCGATCATAAGTGTCAGCAAGGGCGAACAATAAAGCCTGGCGTTCTCTCTCAAAGACTCTTCCTGGGTTTACATGGTTGTTAACTAGTCATAAACTGGTGGTGGACTGGTTGTGGACTGGTTGTGGACTGGTTGTGGACTGGTTGTGGACTGGTTGTGGACTGGTGGTGGACTGGTTGTGGATTGGTAGTAGGCTGTTGGACTGGTCTTGGACTGAACTAGACTGGTGGTAGACTGGTAGTGGACTGGTAGTAGGCTGTTGGACTGGTGTTGGACTGAACTAGGCTGGTGGTAGACTGGTAGTGGACTGGTAATGGACTGGGAGAGGGACACAAGGCAGGGACAAAGGAGAGGAAGGAAGCAATTTTGTCAACCAAAGAGACTTGAAAGTTTTTGTCTCTCTTCCTGTTCTTATAGAGAGAGAGAGAGAGAGAGAGAGAGAGAGAGAGAGAGAGAGAGGCACCTCCATCATAGTTCATGTCAACACACTTATTACAAAATAACGAAGAGGTTTATCAGAGACAACGAAGACACCCATGAATATTCTCACCTTCATTATCTCCCCCACCCCCACCAGGCAGGAGTCTCCCCACCTTCATCACCATTACCATCCAGTGTTGTTAACTAATGTCTCTCTCTCTCTCTTGAGTCGTATATTGTCTAGGCGTTAAAAGGTAGTCTTCCACGAGACTGTCATTCAAGAAGTCCACACACACACACACACACACACACACACACACACACACACACACTTAAACCCATACACGAGTCTTGACATACATAAACACGATCCACTTACCTGTTCACTTATCAATTAAATGGTTACTTACGTAGAACAAACAAAAATATCAAAAGAACAATACTGAATAACAGGATCCTCAAGAACAACAAGGAGAAGAACAGAAGTTATAAAATATTAGTGCACAAATGTAGTTATTTATTGTTAGTATACATCAAACAAACTACAATACATTAATACAAATACAACATTACAATACAATACAATAATATATCTGAAATTAAAAAAAAAAACACACACAGGTAAATCATCATTAACCTGCCACCTGGAAATTAATCACACACACACATCTTGAATACACACCTGTACCACCTGTTGTCCTTCTCATCATCACCAACACATAGAATAAAACAGACGTAAAAAAACAAACACACAACAAACACATACTATAGGGCAAGAAGATGAACCAAGCGATACACAACCCAGACACACACACACACACACACACACACACACACACACACACACACTACACCGGCCCAAGTTAAAAAAAGGGGGTGACATACATACATACATACATACATACATACATACATACATACACACACACACATACATACATACATACATACATACATACATACTTACCCGAAAACTAATTTGTCCGTTGCTATTTAAGTCGAAGGCCTTAAAGACATGATGTGCGTACAAACTGGAGTCTGTAACAAAACATGTGGACATTATTTGTTACAGCGTCTTGTGAAATGTATTCCTTCAGGGCTACAACAGTATAGTCAACACCAACAACTGACACCACTTTTTTTTTTTGAACCGATTTTATTTCTATCATTAACAGCTGATATGAAGTTCTGTCTAGCGGCCGGTGATGGTGACGCTATGGTATGTATGTATGTATGTATGTATGTATGTATGTATGTATGTATGTATGTATGTATGTATGTATGTATGTATGTATGTCAACTTAAACTAGTGATATTACCCTTTGCAACCTAAGATAGCTATACATAATGACTAATTCTAACTTCGTCAACAAGATGTCTATTTTTTTCTCTATCTCTCTCTAAGACAACTACATCATTTATCTCAACTTCACCAACAGTTACGAATCTGTGGCAGGATGGCTAGTCTACCTGCCTACCATCTTGTAAACCCACCGCCACACAGCGCTCACATATATACCTTTCTGATAAACATACATAACTAACAGGGTTTGTGTTTTATGTATGTATGTATGTATGTATGTATGTATGTATGTATGTGTGTATGTATGTATGTATGTGTGGTGACCGCTGATCCAGAGTATTGAATTCTTTTTATGTAATATTATCAGATACAAGAATAAATGTTAGTTAATATTTTCTGTATTTATTAGTATTTTTTTTTCCCATTGTATATTCCTTATTTATATTATATTCTTTTACTGAAGTGATTAATAGCAATTTAATCACCGCCACTCTAATAACTTGAGGATCGTTAATGAACACTACGATCTGGCTGCAGCTGACCACAACACGTACAATATAGGATGAATATAAGCCAAGTTCTGAACACAACCAAGTGAATCCTTACACCTCGGAACACATTTCGTAAGACACTGCTGCTGTAATTTAAACTAAGAAGAAAAAGAAGAGAAAAATGCAAAAAAAAAATAAACTATTTTATCATTATATTAAAAAATCTCTAAAAAGTGATTCAAATGCAACATTCACTTCTGCTTATCAAAAAATAAATTACACAAAATTTTTTTTAGGTTGAGTATATTGATATTATACAAAATCAAATACTATTATATTTCACCAAAAAATTATAACTTATTTATGACTACACATTTCATTATAGTAAAGAGTGCACACTATAGTAGTCTTATGTCTATGGTAAAGTTGAGAGACTAGGACTACATACCGACTGTTTCCAGGCAGCAAGGGGAGAGTTACTGTGTTACACTCAACGTTACGGCCACTACATACGGTGCTATATTCACTAAAAAAATCGGGGGGTGGGTGATAAGTAGAGTTAGAGGGGTGGGGGTCTAGTGAATGGAGGGGGAGGGTGACGGGTGGTGATGGGGTGGTGATGGGGTGTGTGATGGGGGGTGGTGATGGGGTGGTGATGGGGGTGGTGATGGGGTGGTGATGGGGGTGCAGGTGATGGGGGTGGTGATGGGGGGTGGTGATGGGGTGGTGATGGGGGGTGGTGGATGGGTGGTGATGGGGTGTGGTGGATGGGGGTGGTGATTGGGTGGTGATGGGGGTGGTGATGGGGGGTGGTGATGGGGTGGTGATGGGGTGGTGATGGGGTGTGGTGATGCAAGTGTGATGGGGGGTGGGTGATGGGGCCAAGGATGGGGTGTGGTGATGGGGGTGGTGATGGGGTGTGGTGATGGGGTGGTGATGGGGTGCGGTGATGGGAATAAGAGAGAACAAATGTTTAAATATATCAGCTATTTGTTCTCAGATGGGAACAAAAATATTATTATTTTTTGTACACATATATTATTTTCTTTTATCTATGTTATTTATGGAGTAGCGTTATAAAGCATGATACTAATCAGATAGTTAACTAGTAAGAGGAACAACTATTAAGATTCATGCAAGGGGGTTAGAGCAACACCTACTTCAAGCTCCGCAACACAAGTGAGTCAACAACAACAACACTACCTGGGCATCGTACCAGGTCATGGAAAGTGTTTCTGGGTTTAGTTATTGTCTCCTGGGTACTGTGAGAGGCCAGGGGTGAGAGAGGGTGGGGATTCTGGGAGGGGGTATATGTTCACTTAGGCCAGGTGCCAAGGGCTTAAAAAAAAGTTTCCCCCCTGTACACTACATCAAGTGACAAGTGCCTCTGGTGAACTGCATTATAGATGGCAAAAACAAAACCCTCCGAGGCGAAAGTATTGAAGGAGGAAAGAAGATAATAAAGAACTGGAAGGTGAAGGAGCAGAAACAGCTAGTGCCTCGGGAGGTGGTGGTGAACGGCAGGTGACATAAACAACAGGTGAGGCTGGGGGAGAAAAATGCCTCAATATCCGGCTTATATCACGTTAACAGCCGAGGAGGAGGAGGGATATTGTATCACCCTCTGGAGGTAAGTCTAGTAAAAATCAATAATGAAGTAACTGTAAAAAGATTGAGAAGCTGAAGGGAGGAGGGAAGGATGGAGAGGAGAGGAGACAGCTTAGTTATCAGTAAAGCTTTAACCCAGAGAAGAGGTCAGGTGTGGACCAAAAGACTAGCCATCTTCACGACCACGACAACAACAGAAGAAGAGTGAACACGATGAGTTACAGGTGAGTTACTGGTGAATTACAGGTGAGTTACAGGTGAGTTACAGGTATAAAACACAAACTCACTAGACTGTTCTCGGATGCTCACCCTCGGGACACAAAGAGGGGAGGAGAGGAGGGGAGGAGAGGTTAACACACAATAACACCTCACATACAATCATCACTACACAGCAGTATGGTGACACACACACACACACACACACACACACACACACACACACACACACACACACACACTCTCACAGCACCAACACACAGCCACAGCTTTTACTTACTTCCATGTGGGAAAAATTTAGCGTAGATTTCCTTAAAGGCATCCTCCTGCACCACGCCTTCCGGACACTCCTGCAGAAGGGAGAACATTGATTAGATTAAAAGCGAAATATGGATCACTGAAGGTCATGTAGCTTACCATAATGATCACACAGGTAAATTTAACTCATCTATACATTTTGGCACAAGAGTGAATAATAATAATGTAAGGGGTGGCAAAGGCCAGTTGTGGGGAGCTAGAGGGGAGTACTGCCCTCCCCCAACACACAAAAACATCCTCTACATATATACGCCCCCCAACCAACTCATCCACTATAAACACCTAAACCATAACATCAAAAAACACCGAAGAAACAAAAGAGAGAGAACTATAAACACCTGAACTACCACAAAACACTCCATAAGAGAGAGAGAGAGAGAACTATAGACACCTGAACCGCCACCATAACACACAAACAAACAAGAGAAGTATAAATGACATGATACAGTAGAGGCGGGGGGAGGGGAGGTAGAGGTAGAGGATTGAATCAGGAGTTAGTGTGGGGTTGGGAACTGGGAAATGGGTCTTGATCCTCCTTCAGGTAATCCGTTCATGAATATGCGTTTTTCTATATGTTGTCTGCCGCTCCTGCCGGGGAGATAAAAACATAATCCTCTTTGCATCTATATATGTGGTGAAGCAATTGTAGTTTTGTGAGGTAAACGTCAAAGAATCATTAATGTCATTGATGAATAGTTAAGAAAGAACCGTAAAGACCTTAGTTGTTGAAGTGCAAGCAACAACAACAACAATAACAACTTCAATAACAAAAACAACAACAATCCAAGAACTTCTAAGCCAATATTGTATAATCCATTGTAGTATTGTCAAGTACTTGTAATCCTAGGGTGATAATCCAGAGTGTTTCAATACATGGGATTTTAATCTAACTAATCCTAGGGTGTGCAAGGTGAGGGATTTATCCTAAGTACATATTTACATCCAACGACGCTTAAATCCTGTCTCGTTCTGCCAATGACTTGTTAAAAGGTTAATCCTATCTGATCCTAAGCTCTTAAGGCTTAATCCTACCTGCCACTAAATCCTTCAAGCTTAATTCTAACTGCCAATAAGTCCTTCAAGCTTAATCCTACCTGCCACAAAGTCCTTCAAGCTTAATCCTACCTGCAACTAAGTCCTTCAAGCTTTATCCTACCTACCACTAAGTCCTTCAAGCTTAATCCTACCTACCACTAAGTCCTTCAAGCTTTATCCTACCTACCACTAAGTCCTTCAAGCTTATTCCACCTACCACTAAGTCCTTCAAGCTTACTCCTACCTACCACTAAGTCCTTCATGCTTTATCCTACCTACCACTAAGTCCTTCAAGCTTACTCCTACCTACCACTAAGTCCTTCAAGCTTTATCCTACCTACCACTAAGTCCCTAAAGCTTAATCCTATCTGCCGGTAATGTTTTCAGTGTTAATCATCCTCGCTACAATTGCCTTCTCAACACCCTCATTCTGCCGCCATCACCTTAGGAACGTACAGATACGACTGAGAATAAACAGAAAACATGAAGACAAGAGACAGTCATAAGGAAGGTAACGGAACATTTCCCTCTCCACGAAACAAAAGATGGTCGCTTGCTCAATTACCCAGATGTCCTCTGCTGAAATCGAGTATCTCTTATTCAACTGGTTGTTATTAAAGCCGTGCGATCCAATCCTCTCCTTCCTCCCCTCCCTCTCCCTCCTCTCCCTGTTCCCTCCTCTCCCTCTCTCACGCGGTAAGCAAAGACCACTGCATCCTCCCTCGGCCTGCGCGCCAAAATGTACAACTACCTCCCCCTATTGGACGATGGCTGCGCACTATCACTCACTCCAATATTTATCAGTTGTTTTTTGTAACTTATGCTGCCTCTCTCTCCTCCTTTCAGGTGATAGTGAACGCGACAGAAAACCAATAACTTCCTGGACGTAAACTCAAGCGGACAAGTTACTTTCCCAAGCTTTGGCCTACCCACGTATCCGGCAGTCCGCCCCTCCTCCTCCTCCACACGCATCCCACAATTACTGCACAACCATTTGGCCTCTTTTCTTCCATCCCTGGAGGCCAAATTTATCTCCCAGTGACTTTAGCATTTGTTTTTTCATAGCTATTATTTTCCTACTTTGAGTCTGATAAAATAGTTGTGTTCTGTTGTTTAACTCGGGAGGATTCATCGTACGTCCGCCCACTCCTCATTCAAAGCTATTGATCGGCGTCGCCAGATGCTCGTAAAACTTGTCATACAGTGATAGAGTCAGAAGAGCCTCTCATTACTACTGTTAGTGGCTGTCTGAGATGCTAACAACGTATTGTACACCTTTGTAGAACGCTCCCAAAAATGGCTACTTACCACCCTCAATAAAAGGAACACGTACATTTTTGGGATGGGCGAAGGCGAATGAAACGAGACGAAACACTATGGCAATAACTGGTAATTACATCCCCGATAATTTCCCATTTAATTATTAACATTATTATTATTTCATCATTAACATAGAGCAAAATCGACACACTCACAGTTATCACGTATCAATTAATGTTAAACTAAACGTAATATGAATTCAGAGGCAAAGAATATTAGCCAGGAGATAAAGTCCACAATCGACATACTCAGGGTTGCATAAAGAAATTTGTCCAAAAACAATACTGAGTCAACCTCACCCCATGATGAGTCAACCTCACCCCATGATGAGTCAACCTCACCCCATGATGAGTCAACCTCACCCCATGATGAGTCAACCTCACCCCATGATGAGTCAACCTCACCCCATGATGAGTCAACCTCACCCCATGATGAGTCAACCTCACCCCATGATGAGTCAACCTCACCCATGATGAGTCAACCTCACCCCATGATGAGTCAACCTCACCCCATAATGAGTCAACCTCCCACCATGATGAGTCAACCTCCCCATAATGAGTCAACTCTATAATGAGTCAACCTCCCCCAATAAGTCAACCTCCCCATAATGAGTCAACCTCCCCATAATGAGTCAACCTCCCCCATAATAGTCAACCTCCACCATAATGAGTCAACCTCCCACCATGATGAGTCCCTCCCCCATAATGAGTCAACCTCCCACCATAATGAGTCAACCTCCCACCATAATGAGTCAACCTCCCACCATGATGAGTCAACCCCCCATAATGAGTCAACCTCCCCCATAATGGAGTCAACCTCCCCCATAATGAGTCAACCTCCATAATGAGTCAACCTCCCCCATAATGAGTCAACCTCCCCCATGATGAGTCAACCTCCCCCCATAATGAGTCAACGAAACAATATGACACCACAGACGAAGGATTCTGACAACACTACCGAGACATAAGGAGTCATATTGATCGTTTCGAAACTCATCGGACCCAAAGCAGGAAGATTATTTTTTCTACTAAGGGAAATTTGTTATCGTACTTTAAATAAATAAATAAATAAATAAATAAATAAATAATGTGTACATGGCCACGACAGACAGACAGACAGACAGACAGACAGACAGACACAGACAGACAGACAGACAGACAGACAGACAGTACCGACTATAATTAATACATAACTAAACCCACAATAAACTCAACATAATTAAATAAGTAATTAAATAAGATGAATTATATTTCAATTTTCATGAGTTTATCAGTTTACCCAGAACGAGGAAAATTAACTTCGAATTTAGCGAGGAAACTAAATTAGCGAGACCGAACCTGCTAAACCAAGTGGGTGTAAATATATGAAATTAATTAATACATTCAGCCAGGAAGGTGAGATGCAACAGGTGTGTGTGTGTGTGTGTGTGTGTGTGTGTGGTGTGTGTGTGTGTGTGTGTGGGAGGTGTGTGGGGGGTGGGTGTGTGTGTGTGTGTGTGTGTGTGTGTGTGTGTGTGTTGCCCCTGTGATGGTCTCTTCACACACACACTTACTATTAAATGTTACCTCACAACTGGATTCGAACCCGTGCCCTATTTGACCTGACTCTGTACAAGGTAACTCTGACTCTTTATCCCCAGTAGACACGTGACCTGGATGCCTAAGCTGGTCAGGTCAACATTACCAATATTTCCTTCAATATCGGAGTTTTTTCCTTCGCTTGTACGGATTTTCCTTCGCTTGTACGGATTTTCCTTCGCTTGTATGGATTTTCTTTTCGCTTGTGTGGATTTTCCTTCGCTTGTACGGATTTTCCTTCGCTTGTACGGATTTTCCTTCGCTTGTACGGATTTTCCTTCGCTTATACGGATTTTTCTTCACGCGTACGGATTTTCCTTCGCTTGTACGGACTTTCCTTCGCTTATACGGATTTTTCTTCGCTTGCGGATTTTCCTTCGCTTGTACGAATTTTCCTTCCTTGTATGGATTTTCCTTCGCTTGTACGGATTTTCCTTCGCTTGTATGGATTTTCCTTCGTTTGTATGGATTTTCCTTCGTTTGTACGGATTTTCCTTCGCTTGTAGTTTTCCTTCGCTTGTACACATTTTCCTTCGCTTGTACACATTTTCCTTCCTCACTTATTCTGATTTGCCTTATATATTTTCATTGGTCGTTTGTATGTAAAGCGAATGAGAGAGAAATTACTGAAATGGTTGATAATGGTGAGAGAGAGAGAGAGAGAGAGAGATGGGGGAACGAAGAAAAACTCCTAAATCCCCCTTCTGTTCCACCCCTTCACCACCCCTTTAAAATCCCTCTATTCCCAGCATCACCATTACCATAAATCCCCCCCTTCCCTCACCATCCATTCTCACCATCACTCCTTGTCTATTCCTTCGTGTTTCTTAATGTTCCTTCACCCTCTGTTTATCCATTCCTTATCATCTTTATCTTCTTCCTCTATTACCCTTTCTTTATCCACCTCTTTCATTCAGTTCTCATTCGTCTTCTTCCTCTTCCTCCTCCTTCTTCTCCTTCCAACTACAACAATTTTCCTATTCTATACAACCACCCTACTACCACCCACAGTCACTACCACTATCTCCCATCAACAACTATACACCACCACCACCACCACCCAACTGTTCACTTGTCAGGTAAGCTGTAGTCCCGTCACT